ATATATATATATATATATTTCCTATTTACAAATGTATTCCAAATTCTTTAGACAAATAATGGTCAGCTTGTATTTTTTCTGCTATTTGTATTGTTTGTTGTAGTGGGTGAAGTCTCATGGTTCTGGATTCTTCCTTGACAAGGTAAGTGATGCGCTTGAGATGCAGGAATAAAGTGAGCAGGGAATATTTTACTTTCCATTACTAATTGATAAGTCTCATAAAAAAATTGCTATTTTTAATGATGGCAATTTTTATTGAGGAAAGTGGTCTACATTCAGTTTGAGGAAGATTAAGGTATTTTCATTTAGCTAGAACTGGATTAGCTGTTTAAGAGTGGAAGTGTTGGTTGATTGGTTTTTAGGACTCAACGCAGGGAAAAGGAGGTTTTGTCTTCCCAAAATACATGCAGTACTAGTATTACTCCAACCAGATGGGACCACTTTTTTTTTTTTTTTTTGCTCAGCAAACTTTTAATCCAGACTGGCCCTCTAAGAAGCTAGGAACACTCTGATTCAGAGTGGTAATGCAAAGTATCAGCTGGTAAGCGCCACCTGATTGGAAAAGAGCAGAGTTCTCTTCCCCTTCCCATTCTTTAAACTCCTTCCTTTCACAGTTAGCAGCTCAATAGTTCATCTCTTGTTACACTGAAGACTCTTCATGTCTATAAGCTCCAGCCACGAGTTCTCTTTAGTTCTCTTTTCTCCCAAGAACTTGCACTGCCACATTTCTTTTGGAGTGAATTTTAGCACTGTTGACACCTGCAGACTCTGAAGCCCTCTGTTTATACCTAGAACAGTCACAGTGTAAGCAGCAGCAGCAGCACAAGTTCCTCCCACCTCCCTTCACTTTGATGAAACATCTTCATAAGGCACCATGTGGGAACAGATTGTGCTGTCCCCAGCTGTATTGTATCTGTTCTGGAAACAGTGGGTTTTCTCTTGGTTCAGCCCCTTTTGCTGACTCTGCATTTCTCTAAACAATTAGGGGGGAAAGAAAGAAAAATTTCCATGAGCAACAAGATCCTTTGGCTCAGTACATGGTTGCATTAAAATAAAAGTGAATGTGGGTCAGTGTAAAGTGTGTAAGTGTAAAGGTCAGTTTAGTTGTGTAATTTGTTGATACTGGAGACCAAACTGCAGTCGGACAGACTGCTGAAACTGCCGC